CTTTGGGTATCTACAATGCATCTGTTTTTCTTCAGTCTTTTCTCGTCACTTCCGTGATTTCGACGCAACGTTGGGTTTTCCAGGTGAGGGCCCTCAAGCTGATACGAGTTGGAAGCTCATTTGTGCCAACATTGGATCCCTTAATACCAATGTCCATTGGAGGTCATGGCAAGCACAAACCATTTGCCTTCAGGAAACTCGCATTGGGAAGAACGGTATTCGTACTGCTACCAAGACCGTTGCAAGTCAGAATCTTCAATTGTTCCACGGCAAACCCCTCCCTGGCTTGCTTTCGACCCATGGTGTTAAACGAACACCTCACGGAGGAGTTGCTATCCTCACGGCTCCGGACCATGGGAAGGACTTCGATCCACAACATGATGCCTCGGGTTTGTATCCCAAGATCTTTGCCTCTAAAAGAGCTCATGCTGTTTGGGTACAAGTGTCTAGGCACCTCCGAATTCTTGTCATCAACGTCTATTGTAAGACTGGAGCATCTCAAGACCGTGTGGTTCAGGAAAACAACAATCTCCTCTTGCAAGACCTCTTTACATTTGCATGCCAATTTGGGTCCATACCTGTTGTGATCGCTGGGGATTTCCAACTTCCCCCGCTTGAGTATGAAGCTGTCTCCCAAGCTGTCAATTTTCACCAATGGAATGACACACTCGCGATTTCGGAGGACCCTGGTTTGTTTCGACCGCTTACTTTCTCGGCCGATGGGTCTTTTACAGGACCAGGGGATGGTTGCAGTAGCATTGACGGTGTTCTCACCAATGCCGCAGCATCTGCTGCTCTTGTCCGGGCCGAGGTTCTTCCCCTGTTGAAAGTCCAACACAGACCTCTTTGTGTGACCTTCCAATGGACCAACATTTGGCAGAGGGGATTCACACTCCACAAGACTGCACCTCTCAACCTCAACGACCTCCATCAACATGTTGAGCAGGATTTTTCCGAAGATCTTGTAGCTGAATGCCATGGCCTGTCCATTGAAGATTGCTGGCAGAAAGCCAATTGTGTGGCTATTGATTCTTTGCTGGATAAAGGAGCCTCCTGGGGACCTGGACCTCAGACCAGAGGAAAGCCTGTCTTGGTTCGTTCAAAGAGTATTTGTCCCGGGCAAAATCCCAATGGCTGTGCCACTACCAAGCGCTCATCATGGCTGCACAATGCACTAGGTGGGCTTCGTGAGATTCTGTTTTTCCACACTGCACCTATTGCACCTGGTCCACGAAGACACATTCAGCGCCGAACCATACTCAAGGCCTGGAACCGTCTTCACTGGCTACGAGCCCTCTGCTTATGGCCCCATGATGTGTACCCAGACCTTGTCCAAACGCTTCGCGCGGTGCAGTGGGTCCAAGATGCCATTGCGACAGATGAAATCAAGACTAAACTCAGGCGAATCCAACGCTGGAAACTTAAGATCCAACAAAGTGCACAAGCCGGTTCGTCCTTTGTCTATCAACACTTGAAGAATCGTGCCGCAGATGAGCCGCCTAATCTTGTGACCGATCACGATGGCAACATTGTGACCGACCCACAAGAAGCCATTGCCATGATCAACCATCAATGGGATGACATTTTTAGTGCGAACCTTGGTTTTCCTCCGCCGCACCACATGTTGGAGGTAGTCTGGCCACACATACATCATTGTGGCCATGCATATGCTGTTCCTGAGTTACAAGCACAGGACTTGCAGAAGATCATCCACAGTCGGAAAAAGCATGCCGCTCCCGGTTTAGATGGGTGGCGTACCGCTGAAATGCAAGCAATTTCGATTTCGGCCCTGCACATATTTGCATACATGTTTCGTCGGCTTGAACAGACTGATGAACCTTTGCCGCAAGCACTTGCCACGGCTAAGCAAATCATCTTAAACAAAAATGGAAGTTCGGAACCACTCCAGGAACGCTTGATTACGCTTCTCCCGGTGATCATGCTTGCGTATACTGGTGCCAGGTTTCATCACTTGCGGGAGTGGCAAATGGTAGCCATGCCACGCCAACTTCAAGGTGGCATTCCTCACCGTAGTATGCCAGCAATACACACCTCCTTTGCACTTCGCATTGATGATGCCAAGAATTCCGACCAAGCCATGCTTGGAGTCAAAATTGACAAGGCGAAATGCTTTGACCGCATCATACCCTCCTATGCCGCTGCGCTCATGCTCGCATTTGGGGTGCCAAAATGTGTCATTGTCATTTTTACCAAGCTTTACCAGCAACTTGTCAAACATTTGGCCTTTAAGTCATGGTTTGCGCCGCTTCCAACCCATGGACCCAACGGTGTGGCACAAGGGTGCTCCCTCTCACTTATTGCTATCAATGTTCACATGAAGGCATGGGTGCACTTGATCGCAATCCTCCCTGATGTGATGGCGCAAGCTTTCATCGATGATGCATACTTGTGGGTCAATTTGTCCCATGCCAATGATTTGCGCCGCGCCATCGAAATCACGGAGCAATGGGATGCCCTGGTTGGGCAAGCCATGAACTGGGGTAAATGTACAGTGTGGGGAACAACCACGGATGCTCGCAAGACCGCCAAGACACTGTTTCCCACCATGAAGTTTGCACTTGAGCTTGAGGTCTTGGGTGTCAACATTCGCACCAGCCGTCGCAACGCCATGAACTTTTCAGAGACCAAGTGTGCTAAAATCTTGGCTGATATACATAATATTGCAGCCTTGCCGTTGTCCACCAAACTCAAGGCAAAACTGATTGCGACCAAAGTCATTCCCCAATGCACCTACTGCCCCACGCTCAATCATATTCCTGCCAGGCAGTTGAGCCGCATTCAGAGTGCCATTGCCAATGTCTTTTGGGGGAAACGACCGCACTGGCGGTCTAGGTTTTTGGTTTTTGCGTTGCTCACCAAACCCCATAGAGTTGAGCCTATGTGTGCACGTAACTACCATGTGATACTGGACTGCCTGCGGTTTTTGCAGCACTACCCTGAAGAGCATACACTGTTTCGTAACTTGCTCCGTCAAGCCAATCCAACTGTGCCCAGTTTTGCCCAGACAGTTAAACAAGCCTTTCGTTTCCATAGTCTTGAACTCACCAGTGATGCAGAGATCCTCTTTCGTGGGAAGCCTGTCGGCAACTTGTTTCAGCTCACCCCTAAGGATGTCAAACCAGTTCTGCAACTCTTAAGTCGTCAGGCCTGTTATGCACAAGCCTCCTTACAGTCACGGAAGGAGTTTCGATCCCCAGCTGGTGTCCTCGATTCATTTCTGTCTACTCTCTTCCTTCGGAAGTCCCAATTGTGTTTTGCTGGTGAAGTTCCTGCCCATGCCTTTTTTGAAGCACAAGTCGTCGGATGTGTGTTGACAAATGACCGCCTGGCCGCAGCCAATCTTGTTGAGTCGTCGCAATGTCGGTTGTGCCATACCAGTAAAGAATCCATTCCGCACCTTCTTCGTGATTGCCCGTTTGTCCAAGAGCACCACCCGGCCCCACCAGTCCATGAGTTGGGGCGGAATTTCGAGTTCCTGGGCATAGTTGAGCACCCCTGGGCAATTCTCAGTCAACGCTTGCAAATCAGCAATCCATGGCAGCTGAACTTTCTTGGAATTGACACCACAGTGCCACCATGTGTGCTTTGGACCGATGGATCCTTGATGTGGGCTGAAGACCATGTTCTCACCACAGCTGGGTTCGCAGTAGTTGATCACAACAATGTTGTCCTGGCCCAGGGCCCTGTCTGTCATTGGTTACTGACGAGTTACACGGCTGAACTGTGGGGGCTAATCATTGGTTTTAGCCTCATGTCCGGCCCTGTTGAAATACGCTCAGACTGCCAGACACTCGTCAAACATGTCCAACATATGATAGAAACAGAATCTGTGCAGTCAACATGGCCGCATTATGATTGGTGGAGGTGCTTGCTCCAAGCTTGGCTTGATAGACGAGCGCATACACCGGCTCCTCTCTCTGTCAAATGGATCCCGGCACATAAGTTAGAGCATATCCCAGAGCACCTCATTGACGACGACATGGCCACAGCGAATGCCACCACTGTGTGTGACATCATACACAATCGTAAAGCTGACCATGCCGCTAAGCAGGCAACCATGCACCATTGCCCCCTTTTCCATAAAATGTTCGATGAGCTTTGCCATGCTGTTCTTTTGCGCCAAGAGTGGCTTACTAATTTATGTCACCTCATCGGCACTCAAGTCCCACCACGGGCTGATGAACCCTGTAGTGACAACGATGAAGCCACAATTGCTCCCAAAGACCAGTTCCCTCGCCTTCCGTGGAAGGCTGACCGGATGCAGTTCACGTGGAATCTTAGTAAGCCCTGGCCTGATAATCCGTTCCCTCATTCACAATTGCTTGATGAGGACTGGGTAGTTTTTGGCAGATTCTTTCGACAGCTTCAATGGAAGGTTGAGGCAAGCTGTGTCATTTCGCACGCTGAGATTGCCCTGCTTTTCTACTACCAGGGCTTCCAAAATAGTGACATTCGTGGCAACGAGCACTACACTTTTCAGGACTTAATTGTTTGGTTCAAACGGTGCTTGAAGCTCTGTCGGAAGGGTGTGGCCTTCCCGATCTTCCCGGGCCAGAACGATTCTCGACTCCACAACGCGTGGGGTAAAAGCATGCCAGCTGGAGCAATTGTTGGCGCTATGCCGTATATGCCTGATGATTTCCTTGAATTCCTTGCCGTTGTGTCCAGACGAGTGATCAAGGCTAACCTCGAAACATGGTCCTTCCCTGTCTCGCTCTTTCCTCGGTAGCTTGGTTTCCCCTTGGGGTCTGACCTTTTTGGTCATTTTGTTCAGGGTTTGCCAACAGGTGGAACGCCTGTGGCACAGTCTCACGGCAGACTTCGTGAGCGCGAGTGGTAGAAGAGGATGTTCAATTCAGTTGGGTGGGTTTATCAATCACAATTGTCCTTCGAGGTTTTACCATGTTTTACCTGCGATGGTGGCGGTTGTTTGGCTCTCACCATTGCCATTGGCCGAGAGTTTTTTTGCAGTTTTTGAGGAGCCCTTGGCTGCGCAGAAGACGCAGGGGCTCGAGTGGGAGGCAGGAGATGGCAGTTCTGGAAACGAAGAGTGTCGGTAATGGCTGGCTGAGTCAGTTCTTTCCTGCACTGGCCAGGCAGCAGCCCGGTGTATTGCTATAGGGTCATTTTTTCCGGTGCTTAGACTTGCTACCAAAATGTTTTTTTGGCAGCACAGATTCACTGGATGGATTAACACATTCGGGGAAGATGTTTTTTTGCCCAAACTTGTGGAATGGGTTCAGCCAGGAACGCGCGTGGTGTTTGCAGGTTCCAAAGTGAGACCTTCCATGTAAAACGGGTCACATGTAGTCAGCGCTGTTCCTTTCAGTGTGTTACTTCTCACTCTACCCTGACTGAATCGTTCAGAGTATACCACAACATGCTTGACCCACACCATGCCCGTAATACTTCACCCGCCCCAAGCCGCTTCCTTCACTCGGCCTGCCTCCAACAGTGCCTCCAACGACAAACCTCCAGCCCGCGACCCGTCTAGCCAGGTGTCCTTTGACGCGGCGGGGGAGCTGCGGCAGCTGCCCGTGGAGACGCTCTTGGCCTTCGCCCAAGAGCCGCTCGGCTCGGTACACGACGCCCGGGGTCGACGCTGTGCTGGAGTCCGCGCGGGGTAGACGTGGGTGGAGGTGGGTTCATGCGGTGTGATGGTGTTTTTGGGTGCTTTGGGTTCAAAAGCGACTTGAGGGGTGCCATCCGTGCATTTATAGGGATGCTTTCATGGGACTTCGTAGAAGCTGAAATTGTCAGGATCCGTTGAATTCGTTCTCCACCCATCCCAAACGTGGGTCATCAACGGTCATCATACCAGTAATTACACTGCGGAAGATGGATGTGTAGCTTTAGTGTCATTTCCTTTGACGCTGGAAGCGTGGGCATGCGCTAAGCATGGCCACCACAAGTGTTTGACAGCATTTGAGAAGTTCCCCACCCTGATTTGTGTGTACAAATTTAGACTCAGTCAGACCCTGGTTCCAGACATGTTTAGGAATCTTTATGTATCTCGTGGTGTCCACTGCTCAACATGAGCTGTGGCTTGGACGGATTCGCAAGTCGCGCTATATATCTCGTGGTCAAAAAGGCAGTGTTTCTATGGTTCCCATCTATGGACACATCCCTTCGATTCTCCTTTGCACGGCAGGGTGCGGCCTGAGCTGTTGGACCGGTGGCTTCCCAGAGGCGGGACCTCGGAGGGACGGTTTTTCACGTTCGTGTTTGGCAGTTGCATTAAACAGATGCAACTCATTTGGAAAGTATATGGAAGACCTTATAGCCTTGCTGTGACCCTTGCTGTGACCCCTTCAAGTTTGTGTGAGCTGTTGATCAGTTACATGAGGGTCAGGAGACAATCTGACCCTTGATCCAATGGGATATAGAGAAAGATGGTGGAACTGACCCGGAACTGTGGGGGCCTTGGTGGGAAGAGGGCCTGAAAAGGCTCAGCATTATGCGGTTGCTTGGTTTGGGGTTCTTGGACGATCCACCAAGCTGAGGAATGGTGGGATTGATTGTCTTGGGGGCAACTTGGGCGCTTCAAAAACATTCTTTTTTGGGAGGCCTCTTGATTTTGATTTGTCACATATAAGTTAGTCAACCAAGCATGGAAATACCAACGCATCTCCACAAGGAACCTCACCTGTTTAGCTGAGCCTCTCCTCCAGATCCTGCAGAAACTCGTAAACCAAGGAAACACGGTCCCCGAACGGAACCGTGGTGAAGCAGCGACTGGTCGGTAGGTCGCTGAAGGGCATCCCGAAAAATATAGACTTAAACCACCCACAAGGTGTGGTGAATGGACCACTCCTTAACCTCTATAGGTATACTATAGGTGGCTTTTAGACATCTTAGTAGGGGAGCCCTGGTACATGAGGCCTCACAAAGTTGAAGCCTTGAAGACTTCCCTCATGAAATGCGGAATCATAGCAGCACAAGTTGACACCTGGTTGAAGCAGAACCCGGCTTCACCTCAGGCAGCCAGGTTCCCTATAACAGGCAAATTGGTGAATTCCAACGCGACCAAAGAATATTTGCGTTCCCAGCGGTGGCCTGGAGACGATCACAGTCGGAGACGAACCTCTTCTGCGCCAAGCAGCGTGTGTTTGGTTTCGCTAGCAGACAAAGAACAAGAGGTGGTCGACATCCTACACATCCTTTTCTTGGGCTTCATCTTCGTCGGGTGCATTGCCCCTTCCTTTGCTTGTTGGTTTGCTGTATCGCTCTGGGGTGTGGTGAGTCACACGGGTCACCAGCATGGATTCCAACTTCGAGGCGCATGGATTCCAAGTGAGCCAACATGTGCTCAAGTTTACACACTTGACGGAAGAAGAGTCTGGAAGTTGACACAACCGATGTTGCTGACAGGGCAAATTCAGTCACCATCTTGGGTATGCGATGGACGTAGTTGATCTAGTGGGGGAGACGTTTGCCGGTCTCGGGTGGATTCTTCTCCGATTCACCAAGGATTGGTTTTGTATTCTTGACCGATCTGATCTCACGCATGAGCGTGCCAAATGGATCCAGATGGACCATGAACACCCCATACATACGATTTTCATTCTTCTTATCTGAAAGAACATATGGATTGCCTCGGCACTAAAGCCCACTTGCTTCACATGGCCATGCAACTGACCTCCCAAGACCATCCAATCCGAACGCTCCGGGGCGACCGCAGATCCAACGACCCTGGACGTGGCAGCTCAGCCGCTGTCGTGGAGAGCTTAGAGAGTCCAGAGCGGGAGTTGGAAGAACTGTAAAAGCTGGCGAAGCACCTCAGTCACTCAGAGGTTTGCACATGTTTATCTTATTCTATGTTAAATATTGACACCTCGTTATTTGTTCATTTTGTTTCTGGATTTTGGCCTTCCGGTTGCCTAGATTGAAGAGAAGAACGCCAGTAATAATGCTTCATTTGTGGCTAACCTGTTGCCCTGCTTGATGATCATTTTGCGTTGAAGTGGCGCAGGGTGCATTCTTGCATGTCTGCAACCAATATGCTGCTTAGATGAGGGATGCAGGACACACACACACACACCATTCGCCTTTGCAAGAGACTGTTGTACGGAACTTGTCCTTGTGGACAACTACCATCCCCGCGTCTTTTGCACATTGTTCTTTGTTCCAGGCGGCAGCTGCTCCGATCCAACTTCTTCTTCTACTTGCCATCGGAGGCGCTTGGCTGTTTTTTTGACTGCATGTGCCGGCTGCAAGTCACAAAAGGAGGGTTCACGCGAGGGAGCAGCAAACATAGACATAGAACTTCATAGAACAGCTAGCAGCTAGCTTTGAACAGTCAGATCATCCAGCAAGTGTCTTGACAGGTTTTTGCTTGGTGAGATCGCTGCTTCAATGATGCATAACTACCGGCTTCTTCTGACCTTGTTGAGTCCCTAAGCAACCTTTTATACAGGTCTAAGTGATCTCAAGCCCGGCATGGATGGAAAGGTCACTTTCAACCAGGGTTTGATGAACTTGTTTGAAATGTTTGTCTATTCTGCTTGGCTCGCTTTGATCACTTGTTTGCAGTTCCAAGCCTTGGAGTTTCGGCCATGGCATGGTGCTAGGCTAGCCTTTGCTGCCTTTGTTACCTGTCAAGGGTTGCTCAGGCTTAGTATGCTGGCCTTAGTATGGCAGCACAACCTGATTTGCTGCCAAACGCCCCACCCGACTGCCACTTGCTGGACGATGTGCTGCCAAAGGTGTTTGCCTTCGTTCCTGGCGACCTGCAATGCCTAGCACCCTTACGGGTTGTAAACCAAGGCGCCAAAGAAAGCGTCAAAGCTCGATGGTGTGAAGCTCTATGTTGGAAAGCCGACCTGCGAATCACCTCATCTCTGAGGGTGGCCAGCCGATACGCCAAAGAGTGTGTGGAGGCTAGATGGTGGACAGCACAGGTGCAATGCATGAAAGCCTTCGTGGATCGACATGCAAATGTCTTTGCTGATGATCCAGAGATAGATGAAGAGAATGAAGATGTGGTGGCGCAGCAACAAGCGTTTGCTCGGAATGTCCAACTCTGGATAGATCCCCTTCTTGTGAATCAGCCATGGAGATACAATCCTCGTGGAACCGCTCCGACCACTCTGCACGAAGCTTACAGCAATTTGAGGCAAGATTTGGCAAATTTGAGTCACCCGGATTTGCATTTGGAAGGCATCCTGCCAGTTCCTTTAAGTAACTTCGAGCTGACTCTGGTCAAAGCATTGTAGACAGAACTCCACTAAGGGTTTGCAAGTGTTGAGCCGGTAGACTAGGACAACATTGCAAGATTGTCAAGAAACAATGGACTATCATTCAAATCCACCCCTACGCAATGAATATACTTGGGCAAGACCAGCTTCCAAAGAAACAATGCCGGCCATCCCCTTCCTCAAAGGATTCACAGCCCTGTAATTACAGTAGCCAAACATGTTCATCACTACGTCCTCTAGAAACTCTTGGCCCAGATTCCAAGTGGTGGTAAACACTTGGGATTCAGAAATACGACCACCTTTGAACGTGCTTCTGAATAGGATCTTTTGTTGCATTAGTTGCTTTGTTTATTGCTGTGTCAACTGGTGTGTTTGCTCGACTCATTGATTGATTTATGTGTTTTAATTAATTGAGACCCAAGGTAACAGGGACAATGAGCTGCTCCAAAATATGCTCCAACAAGCGCGCTACATTGAGAATTGTCATTTGAGCAACGGACGCATCATGCATACTGTGGTTTCACGGACTGATCGCAGGCTGATGGAAGAACCCATTCCCGCTACACATGCCAACCTTGAGACAACTGAGTTGAGAAGCGAAGATGCTCTATCTGCCTCATTGGCCCATACGGAAATGACCAGAGAAGGCATCCCCAGGGAGGAACTGATGAACCATATGAGGCGCCGCGGGATCCATGAGGACGTGGTCGAGGCCGTGCTTGAAGATTTGGAAGAGAGCGGGTATGTTGCCCGAGGACCAATTGATAATATGTCTGAATCAAGTGACCTCTGGTCGGTGATTGACCAAGGCAGGTCGAATGCTGTTTCAGCCAGGAGGTCTAAATACAGACTTAGTGTGGCGCGCATATTGATATTATGTTTTATGCGTATTTACAAGTTCGATTTCATGTCTCCACAGATCGTCCAGGTCCAGTGAATAGGTGGGCAATTGAAAGAGCAAACTTGCTTTTGTCCACGAGACTGCTGCGGGCAGCTCAGAATGGTCATCAGGATGTGGCTTAGGTGAGCTGCTAGAGAACGGCGCTGACAAAGAAGCACACACACAGAAGGGTGAAACAGCGCTGCACTTGGCTGCTGGGAATCGGCACTTGGGTGTGGTAGTTACATTGCTCAAGGCAGGTGCTGACAAGGAATCAAGATGTGGTAGATACGCTGCTCCGGGCAGGTGCCAAGATAGAAGCCCGAACTGCATGGGGCGCAACGCCACTCATCTTGGCAGCTGAGAAGGGCCACTTAAATGTGGTAAGTGGGTTGCTCGAGCAAAATGCTGACAAAGAAGCAGCAACCAAGGACGACGAAACAGCTCTACACTTAGCAGCTCAGAATGGTCATAAGGATGTGGTAGATGAGCTGCTGGAGAAAGGTGCTGACAAACAAGCAACCACGAAGAACGGTGGAGCACCGCTGCATTTAGCAGCTCGCAATGGCCACAAGAATGTGGTAGATGTCTTGCTCCGGGCAGGAGCTGACAAGGAGGCTGCACGATCATCAGACGGTTCAACAGCGCTGCATTTGGCAGCTCGTTTTGGCCACCTGGATGTGGTAGTTGGCCTGCTTCACGCCCGAGCTGACATGGAAGCAAAAACCGCAGATGGCTCAACAGTGCTGCATGTGGCGGCTCAATATGATCGTCAGAATGTGGTGCGTCAGTTGGTGCTGGCAAGGGCTGATATGGACGCAAAAAGATCAGACGGTTCAACACCACAGGAATCGGCAGCTCAGTATCACCACCACAATGTGGTTGGGCTGCTGAAGGCAGCGAAGCGGTAGCAGCAGCATTCGCAATTTGCCCCCTGGCATTTCGCAAGATTGCCGTCAGAATCTGACGTTTGTGAAGCTTCGTGCACATTTCCTCATGGTCAAAAAACGAGCGAGGCTGCATTGCGCAAAACCACATGTACTACATACCACCACGATCCACCACGAGAGCTTTCAATAAAACTTACCCAGCTTTACTCCCATGGCAGGCAGACTCCCCAGACCGGCCAGACACCTCCCGACACCCCTTCCACATCGAATCTATACCGATCCCTGCCGTGGCGGCGGCCCAGGCGGAGTCCCGCTTCGGCGACCTGGTCCTGGCGCTCCGCGAGGCCTTGCGGCTGCGGCAGGAGGCGTCGAGGTCGGAGAGCGGCGGGCTGCGCGGCTTCTACCGCATCGATGGCAGGCGCGGCGTTTGGGGCGCAGCCGAGGGGTTGGGGACGGGAAGGATGTGGAGGGTTTTGGGAAGGGTGTGAAGGAAGGAGGACAAGTTGAAGAGTTTTGGGATGAACATGAGAGGGTAGCAATAGGTGAGAGGATGCAACATGAAAAGTGAGTCTGCTGTTTTAAGATGTTGCTGTAGTTAGTATAGTTACATTTGATCAGCGTTTGTTAATTTGTTTTCTGACAGGAGTGGGAAGTAATCATCTCATGGTAAGCCATAGTCATGGTCACTTATTAAGCTGGACATTCACATGATTACGCAACTTTGCATTTGGCCAGCCATGGTTTGTTTCCACCCACGCAGCATCCATCAGCGGTGTGGCTTGTCAAGGGACTATGAGGACCTTGACCTCTCCTTCCAGTTTTATCCCTTCGCCATCTTGGCTGCGGCCAATGTGCTGCTCACTGTCTTGTTGCTTGGCATGGCATGTGCTGAAACGGTTCGATCGTTTGAAGGTCATTGCTTGATTTCCTTGACCATCCAGCCAACTTCACGAAACTTCACCAAGACTTTTTGGTGCCCTCCTTGTCCCCCGTAGGGAAAGTCAAAAATCTTTGGACCGGGTCGTTGATCTTGGCAGGTCTGGGATTTCTTATCCCTGCAAGAGCCGTGACTCCTGGCAAAGCAACAACCATGATTTGTTGGAATCAGTGGCAAGCACAGCAAGGATCCAGAGGCATGCTTCTCACCCTGAACTTGGGCAAACGACATCAGTTTTGTACTCCCTCCGCCCTCTTCCAAACGACGTATGTTTTCAAGAAAGTGTCTTCATGAGGTGTAGTTAGATTGACGACCTGCGGCAGATGTTTGCACACATCGGCACGGTACTGACCATCAAACTGTTTACCTTTTTTCCACTTTCAAGCGAAGCACCCATAATTTTCAGGTGACCAAGTTTGTACATTTTTGTTTAATAAATAAATCTACTAATTTACCACAGGAGTTATTAGACTATCAGATAATCCAATTATGAGTATATAAGACAGGCAGACCTCCCAGGCAATGCCCCCGTGGAGAGAAGGAAAATAGACCAGTCTACCCATTGGCCCGGGAGGCCCGGGAGGGCTTTATATTAAACTCAACAAGCCCGTATACCGTGCCCAGCCATGTCAGCAACAGAATCAGCAACGTAGCTGTATGCCAAACTGAATAAGATAGACTACGAAGTGATGGTATGCCTCAGCCTTGGGTTTCCAATGTTGGGAGGCTCAGCTGGCCTTCTATCCACTTATTGTATACTCGTTACTTGTGGCCTCTTCTTCTTTGTTGCGAGGCTTCAAGCGGCCCCACACCGAGGCTCCTCACTCGCCGGCTGCTGCTGGCCGTCTCAGCCACGGCCCTCCTGGCTGCTTCTGCGGCCCTCTCGAGCCAGGCAGTTGAGCCCTTTTGTTGGAAATGGAATTGCTTGTGCAAGGATTCTTTGGGGGAGCATATGGGGACACTATGTCACTCTCTTTGTTTGTTGCTGAAAGACATGCTTGTTACATGCTCCATTTGCCAAAAGTGAACAGAAATTTTTTGCCAGCTAACCAGGGTTCCAGTTTACAACCAGGGTTCCAAAAAATCTTTGCATACGGAACTAACTTGTTAGGTTGTTGATGGTTGTTGCTTGCTGAATATCGAGCCTCAAAGTGCCTCAAAGCCATTTCGGATCAGCTTTGTCTCCACTACACATGTCCTTTGTGCCTTTGTGAACGTGGATCAGCTGAGCTAGTCTGTGTCTTACTTGGTGTGTGTGGGTGTGAAGCAAGCAAACTTCCTTGTTGTGATGTTGTTCACAACTGTTGTGTCCACACTGTTGCGCACGCTAAGACCAGAAGTGGAGCAAGTGACCAATTCGATGAAGAAGGTGAAAAAGGGATCAATCCTAAAGAAGGATGCAACCCGATACCCTCAGTTTGGCCGCTTTGTTCAGGGACAGTGCTCTCGATGGAAGCCGCTTGGATTTCCACAGGTTTCACGAGCCAAGCTCCGGCTGGAAGTTGTGACTTGTCATGCATTGCTTGTAGTTGGAACTCGTTTGCAGCACTTAACTAACTTGCAGGACTCAACACGTTACAGCACTGTAACAACTACTGTAACAGCACAACGCATGTTGAAGCACTCACATAACGTTACAGCAATGCAACAACACAACAAGCACTGTAACTAAGTTGTTTGACCTTGTTGGCCCTAGGTGTGACACCTTGGTGAAACAACACGCCCAATTGGCCTAGGTTCCTCCGCGAAAGCCAAAGTCTCAAGGCAATGTGGAGCTCCAGTGCGGAAAGTTTGTCTCGCAGACCATGGGTTGCTTGAGTAGGGTGCTTAGGGTGCAGATTGTATACGGTATACCATGTAGACTGAACTTCTAGCGCTTACTTTGTTGACATGATGTTACGATGTTGTAAGTATTGCTCACCGGTTTTTATCATGCAGGGTGCTTTTCATCAACTTACACGGCAACCACGCAATACATCATCCGGGGAAAGCAGGACTTGGTTGTATACGTTCAGCATTAAATGCTTGTAAGCAGCACTTGGTTAAGTTAGCATCAATTTTGTTTTGCACAGGATCTGGCTACGCAACTGTACCATTCAACCTCGTACACACAGGCATTGGCATGCCAAATGGAACAGCTTCAGAAAGGCAAGTATCTATCCATTGAAATGGCGGAGCACTTATCAGGCCACCAATGTTGTTCACATGCTGCGACACTCACTCCACTACAGGGCTCAAGGTCAAATCGTTTTAAGTATCGTGAGGGCTCCCTCGTGGATGGACTTCTCCTTTCACTACGGTGACTCATCAAGATGTACTGCGTGCATGCCCTTGGAAGGGCGCCCCAGTCATGTACTTAGTTGCCTGTGAAACATACTTTTGAAGGCAGTCTTGTTTGCATAAGGTTGCGCAGCACAAGTGCATTTCAATGTTTTCTGGCGTTGGTGGCCTTGACTTGGGCCTGTCTGCGTAGAGATCTTAGAGGTTGAGGTTGAAACAGGTGTGTGCTTGTCTGTAGAGCATTACTTTTTACTATGTGTATTGTTAGCTGCTCTGTAGTCAAGGTTCTGTGAGCCCTTGTGCTTCGAATCGCCCTTAGATGAGACTCTGCGTCATGTTACCACACACTGTCCAGGTTCTATGTTGTTTGGTCGCTGTTGACCTTCACTGCTTCGAACTGCAGGTCGAAAACAACCCACACTGCAGAGAAGTTTTGGGCCAAAGAATTGCAGATGGTTCTCTACCCAACGTGCCCGTGTACACAGATGTGTGGACTTTCCGTCCGACCGTCGACATGAGGGCCACCTGCACTGGCCTGATTGCTGGTTTTCCATGCCAGGATTCTTAACTGGTACAACTACACGCTGACACCATTATCTTGTCAAGCACCAACTTGCCACATCTTGCCACAACACCACGTTCACCAATGTTGTTTCTCTAAGGATATGTGCGGAGCAGGTTTGATGCAAGGCCTTTCAGGGGCGCGTTCATCTCTAGGAGAAGTCTTTGAGCAGGTAGAGGGGCTACCCTACTTGTGACTTGCATGCGCTGGGACCAACTACATTCACGGATGTTCTTGTTTTGATTGATTTTGCAAATTGGTTGAAATTCGTTGAATAGAACGCTAATTACACTAAATTAGCAGTTGTCGGGATCTGCTGCAAACCAGACCCAATGGCTGATGTTGGCGTAGGACGTCTCCGCCGGTGCCTCAAAAGAGCAAAGGCTCATTGCGCAACATGCAAAAACCATGCAACATTGCTAAAACCGTTTGGCCTACAGAACCATCTTTGTTGCTCTAGGCATCCAGGCCAAATTGGGTGCTCACGGAGCACCACGTCGACGGCCTTGGAAATCGAGCATCCCTTCCTGGGTGGGGGTAAGCCTGGGGAGAAATTACAGGAACCACCAGAAGCAAGATGTTACTTGCACCCTTGCAAGCATCCCCTAACCAACCTGTCCGGTGATGTGGGGGTCTAATTGGAATATTCATGACATTATCCATTACGATCCAAGGACCAATGATCAACCAATGACAACACCACCGAGCAGGATGACTTCGATAACCACGGAAAAATCCCTGCAGGACGGAAAATCAGATTGGAGTTCACATGAAGTGAACATAAGTATACATAAGTGAACTTAACCAATTCGACACGAGGCCTAATGTTGAGGCCTTTTTGGTGTTATATAGTCAAGTCAAGTCAACCAATACTTAAGAATAGGACTGAAGCACCTTCGAACGAAGATGAAGGTTGAAAGAGGAGTAAACTCCGCAAGAAAAGAAATCTAGTAAAGGCACGAGCTAGCTAGCAAAATATGCCTACTAAAGATACTTTCATGGGTTGTTTCGGGTTACCCTGTTCAGAATCCTTCTAAACGTTTCGCCCCCCAAAACTCATCCAGATCTGAGCTTGGGCACTGTTCAACGAGATCACAGGTTGGAGACAGGACCAAGGATTCAACGAAAGCCACACTCAAGCTACATGGCCCAAAATTTTAGTAGCTGAATGGCCCGCGAAAGCCAAACTCAAAGCTTGAGAACTATAGCCGGACCTATCCTTCCCAAGAAGTCTGCATTGGGGGTGTTCAACCCACGAACAGCCACTAGACATCACTAGACATAGAGTGACCTCTGAACTGATTGGACCACGCTGGACCTGTGAAATACATAGCCTCATGGAGTGGGTGTGTTTTTCCATGAAGGTACGATCCTCCGTCCTGCAGGGTTTGTTTCGTGGTCGGGATAAAACGAAGCATTCAAAGCTACATGTTACATGACAGGCTGACCAAAAAAGATCACTCCTAGTACTGTACATAAATAGCATCCCTCTACTCCAAACAAGGCTCCTGGTAAGATGGTCTTCTGAAATTGTTCGCCCAAAAGTTCAAACATGTGGAAGGTTGTGGAGCCGTGCAGCACAAACGCTGGGTAAACCAGTGGAGGAAATTGGGAACTAAAAAAACACGTATCATCTCCCTCATTCTTCCAGTCACTAGTAACAAGTGCATTGCTACTAGTAGCAAGAAGCTACTAGTAACAAGTGCATCGCTACTAGGAGCAAGGACGCTACTAGAAACTCCTGGCCTTACTACTAGGAACAAGAAGCTACTAGTAACAAGTGCATCGCTACTAGTAACATTCTGGAAAACAATGGGGCGAACACTGAACTGCTTGGGTCTGTTGATCGGTACTGGCATTGGTATGGGCATTGGATTGGCGAAGTAGGTATAGGCAAATAGGAAGATTGAAGTTGTGGAGCAAACTGGGAAAACTTGGATAATGTTCCTAATAGCTTCTTGTTACTGGTAGCTACTTGCTCCAAGTAGTACGGCCAGGAGACCCTAGTAGCGCCCTTGCCAGGAGCCCCTGGTAACGTCCTTGCTCCTAGTAGCGATGCCATGAGACCCTAGTAGCGTCCTTGCTTCGTAGTACCAACCCCAGGAGCATGCGTCAAACCATGTGGAGCTGCGGGGCGCAGTACTGGGCGCAGTCGGTGTCAGCATGTTTGCAGGAGCTGAACAACACTTGGGAGAGCAAACACGAGTACAACGCTCAGGCAGGGCGCACACAGCTTTACGGTGGTTTTGGAGGATCTCCCGGCGTGATCACATCGTAGGCGATCGAACGACCCCGTTGTCCAAGATCTCAAATCGATCCGTACCCACTATCGAACAGCTCCCCCCCCACTTAAGTTGGGAAGAGCAATGGAGGACAGCGGGGCTTTGCAACATGATGTTGACTTGATTCTATGATGGTTTTTGTGTTGTGTTTTGAATGCTTGTGGTGAGCCTTGTTCCATGAATGTTTTGGTGTTGGTTGACATCGGGCATTTTGTACAGGAGTGGTGGGACACCTGTCCACAGGCCGGTCCCAAAACCGTTGGGCTCTCGGCGAGTGAGCCCAGTCTGACTTCGTTGACCACAGTCAATGGCCTCCTCAAGCTTAAGGGCTCTATATATATATATAATCGTTCAATGTGGTTGTTGTTCATGTGTCCGCACGCTACTGACTAATTGTTGAGGATCCCGGATGCCCTGAAGAATCGCTTCGAGGTAGATTCCCCCCACGCTGCCAAGCTGAAGTGGCTGGAACAACAAGTTGTCGACGCCAACACAAGTAAAGGTGAAAAGGGCTTTGGCAACAACACCAGCTTCAACACAAGCTTGAACACAGGCTTCTGGAACCGTGACAGTTCACGCCTACAAATCCTCCCGCCCGGACAGCGTGCCTGCCACAGTTCACTGACCAGGACAAGCCTTTGGATGTGTCACATGCGAGCTTGCCAGCACAAGATTTCCGAAACTCACACCAGTGTGCCAACTGCATGAAGACTGTGGCAGTGATGTTCATTGTGCATCAGTAAAGCTCAGCGTGTTTAATTTAGAGTTGTGTTCATTCTGTACCTCTATATCATTCTATGCTTGTTTGTCGCCACGGGTCTGTGTGTTGAAGGCTATGTTCATTTTGAGGCTGAGGTCTGTGTTTACTTGTTTCCTGATTGTTTCAAGTTCATGCCAGCTAAGTGGTTGCATGCAATTTAGTTTCAGTGCTTGCTTACTGATTGGCGACGATTTTTATTTTAAACTACTACCAAGGATCATGGCAACAGCAGTATACCCCCGCTTGCCAGCAGTCAAAATTTGCCTCACAAACAGCTATGACTTGTGGTTGGTGAATGAGGGTGAAACGAACGCTGAGATCCAGGCAGGTGAACTCATCGGCTTCAACGTTGGATCTTTCAAGGAGATTGCCTTGGGTGCCACGGCCGGTTCATGTCATTAACGTGCATCAACAGTAACATACAGTAATCAACTGGTGGAAGGTACAGGTTGGGTAGTTTCAACCAGTGTGCTTCAAAGTTGCTGAGTTGTTGCGCAATACAAACAAAAGCAAGTAGAATTAATGTGTTCCATGAACAGTCCATGAATGTTCCACCATCATGTTCTCAAAGTGACAACCACAACAATGTACATATGTGCGATGGAGATGGAAAAAGCTTGTACCTGTGTGCTGAAGTGTTGGGTTGGTGTTGCAGAGTGCTGAGGCATAGCAACAGCACCGCCTATAGATTCCCTGCCCTTCTTGGTTAAATATGATACGTGCTTGGTGGCTTGGGTGGGGAGGGATGGCAAGGAGTTGATTTTTATTGCAGACCGTGACATGGAGCAGGCGCAGGACAAGTTGGGACAAGTTGTACGTCGAAGTTGTGATGTTATTGTCGTCGTAGTTGCTACACCCTTTTTGTTCACCTCTGTTAGTACCTCTGTTTGGCACCCCGGCAATGTTGGAACACTGTGTTTTCTGCGGACTTTACTAAGTTCTAAGTTCCGGTTTTGGCCAATGTGCAACAGTTGCTGAACTTCCATTACAAGATTCAACCAAAGCAACGGGTTCACGCTGTTGAACAAAAGCCTTTGCCCGGTGATGTCGACTTGCAGAATATTTGTGCTTCTCAGATGGGACAGCTGTTCGTCAAAGACGGCCAGTTGCCCAAGTTGTTGACCAACAAGCACTGTGCTGTGACCTGGGATGTTTGTGCCTAAGTCGGTGGGAGGTGTTGTAAGAACCTCACAAAGCGTGTCACACAAGTTGTAAATGCAGCTTGTTGTGGGTTATTGTTTTGCGGGTCAAAGGGGTAACATTGCTCAGGTGCGGGTGGACAATTCTGCTCCGGCTTGCATTGTGGGCGTCAAGGCCAAAATTTCATTGACAGCGCGTGTGTCACTCAACGCACGGACAGCATGTAAGCTGTCTTGAATTTTTCAATCAGGGATCAACTGCTGTAAAGGGTGGCCAATGCAATCACTGCTTGGACTTTTATGGTTCATGTCTTCATAGCTATGACATATAGCTTCAACAAATGCAATGACAGTGGTTCCACTTGTTGTTGAGGCGGTGAGGAGATGGGGTAGCGGTTGCATAACACCTGGAAGTCGACAGAATAAGGTTTTGATAAACTACCGGCCAAGTAGCATCTAGATCCGTTGGCGCTTTGAGAAAAACAAACAACTGCACAACAACCCGTGGGCTCAGGTTGCATTTCCAGCATGCTTAATTAAGCAACAGCACATACTCGCTCACGCGCTGCTACATTAGTTGCTTGGACCTGCAGCACCCCTCTCGCGTGCGAAGTTGTAGTGTAGTACTCGCCCTTTTTGGATGTGGTTGGGGCAAGTCGCCCTCATGTTTCAAGATGTGAATGACCTTTCTGATGAGGAGGCTGCACGGCGGGGTAAGAGCAGGAAGCCGAAACTAACACCGAAACCGAAGACAACAAAAGCAAAGCCGAAGGCTTCTGTAAAGAAATCTCCAAAGGCCAAGGCTTCTCCGAAAGCCAAAGCAAAAGGCAAAGCAAAAGCGAGTGCACAGAAACCACGAAAGGACAAATCAGCCAGGAATGAGAGGAGTCAGCCAGAAGAAACAAAGCCTCAGGAATCTCAGGTAGACCCGCAGCCAGTCTTGAAGAAGCCAGCTGCAGCAGGTTCATGTCATGTTATGTTGTTCAGCCCTGAAAGATGATGCCTCGAGATGGTGTGCCAGACACAAAGTTTCACGAGATCGCAGCCACTTGTTTGCATTTACTGAACAGCCCATGTCAACGACAACATGTTGACACACACTTGTGCACAACCGTCACCGCATGTCACCGCCCTAGCCTCATGTGTCAGTGGTTGATTTGCCCATGCGACGAGTTGCTGAAGCAGGAGTTGCTGAAGAACAAGGGGGGATGCAACGTCAGCAGTTTTGATGAAGGTTGCGGTGCACTGTTTGTCTTGGATTCTGCACATTTGTGATTGAACAAGCAGCTAACCACTCAGTTAACCATGATGTTATGTCACTGCACTAAATGAACTTGCCAACTAGCCATTTGTAACCGCTTGAACTTGGCAGGATGCAGTGCTCGATGCCGCGGAGAGAGAAGGATTGGAACCTACCACTAGGAATGCCAAGGATACGAGTGGTGACCTGCCCCTAGAGGGTGAGAAGAAGAAGAAATGGTTGAACATGATGAGAGCCTGTAGTGCCATAAATGGCAGTGTCAATTTTTGTGTAATAGCTTGCGCCTCTTGGACATGAGTGCTGGTGGCGATGGAGAAAATGAAATGCTTTGTGCACATGCAGCGTGTTGTTTTGTGTCAGCGGCTAGTCCTTTGTGCCTTGTGCTCACTCCTTGTTGCAAAGTTCTTGTTGTATTGAGTGTTTTGTTGCTGGTGGTTTGCACTGTTTTGGTCTAATGTTGTTGATTAACTTGCATCATTCTTGGCACTATTTGAGCTTGAAAAACTGGAACCCTGGTTACAAACTGGAACCCTGGTTAGCTGGCAAAATTTTTACAGGAAACATACAGAAACAGTGGTTTGTTGCTCACGCGGTGACGCGGGGTGTAGCAGTTGTGTCGTTGCTGACGTAGCTCGCGTCACCCGACGACATCGTTCGCCGCGCCACGCACCGCTTCACGGTCCGTCTGGCGACCGTGCAGTTGTTGCCCGTGACGACCCTGAGCTGGCAATGGTTGGCGGTTCAGACCATCGCTCCTCGGCTGTAGGCTAGAAGCAGGTGGAGGGAGTGAGGCAGTTGTAGATGGCGAACAAATAGAATTGGAAAGAACCTCACGAGCTCGAATTTTGGAGGTGTTCGATTCTCGTGGCCATCCAGATTGCAGGTTTCAACCATAACAACGTCAGACGCGTTGTTGACCTGAGCTTGATATTTGGTAGAACTGCACCGATCAAAAGCACAGGAACCATTGCTATGCTCGATTTTCGGGTGTTGTTGTCTTCTTCTGCTGAAGGTATATTTTGGTTCAGCCCTATTCTACTAGATAGTTTGTAGCCAGGTTCACTTGGACAATCATGTCTTTGTTGGCTGAAGATGTTGGTCTTTGTTGATGTCACACACAGAGGCGGATTGCTGGACCCACGTGGGTTCGCTCGTGCGAACGCGGAAAACGGCCTCCCAAAGCTCGTGGCATAGATTTTTGGTTGCCCCTGCTAGCAGGTTTTTGTGTGGTGACTTGGGTGTCATCATCTTGTGCCCCCCTGATGTAAAGATTTGATAGTAATTATTGTGTGTGTGCATGTATTAGATCATGGTAGCTCCATTGGAGTACTGAGCGCAGCTCAAAGTGTCACCATGTCTTTGTATTTGACCCAGATGTCTACTCCCCAAATATCGTGGATGTGTTTGCTACTGATGGTGGTCGAAGTGATCTAAGCTGTGATAGTATAGCAAAAGGATGCAAAATGCAAAAACAGAAAACATAGGCAAAAAGAACCTGACCACAAGGTCATCAGGTGTGACTGCCCTCTTTGTGGAGTGACTTGCAGCTCGATGGAACAGCATCCCAGCGATCTGTGCGCTGGAGCGCTGAGGAGATGGCTTTGTCGGCGAACTCTATCTTGTCCTACAATGGCCATCGGGTCCTCGTCAAGCAATCCGACTGCAACAAACAGTGGCGTTTATGTTTAGACATGTTTAGACCATTGAGCACCCAGAAATGAGACAAGGGGAAATGATCCGTTCCCGTGCCAGCGAGATTTGGTGGATGAGTTAATTTGGGGCGGCCTGAAGATCCCAAAATACCCAAGTCGAGATGGGAGACACAAACCACTCTTGATGGTGTAGAGATTGTTGCGATATCCGGGCCATCACCTATCCTGTAGAATGGCTGCGAGAATTATAGGGCACTTGATGCCACTCCCCTCCCTGCAACCCTGTTCGTCTTACTCAGCAGCTCAGGAAACCACATGAGTAGATGGCCTATGCAGGTAGGTTAGGTAGAGAATGAAACTATATGAAACCACCAAGCTGTCAGAAAACCAAGTGTTCAGCAGAACCCCCTCCAGAACTCTTTGATCCTTGGCAAATTCCTTTGATCTTGGGATGCTGAGTAGGCCTTTGCATACTTTTGGTCTTTTAATTGCCAAGGATTCCATACTGTTTAAGTAGCCCCGGTGGCAGGATAGCAGCTTGGGCCTCCAAATCACCAACCATCTCAATGTCTCTCTATGTAATATGACCTCTTGAGAGCTTGAACAGCTGCTATGTATACAGCCTGATAAACATGTTTCACCTTGGAACCCCTTTCCATTCCTGGCTTTTAATCACCTACGAGCCCCGCGCGGTGACCCACCAGTGAGGCTACAGGAGCTTCAGAACCTCGTGAGCCCCACGGCCTCGGAGGCCCACCGGCCTTGGGGAAGGGGGGAAAGACCATGGGGAGAAGTGATTGGTTTTCAGTGGTTTTATTCTTTCCAAACTTCCGATGGGATGCTGTTTCTGCCTCACCACCTTGAAATGTGGAGGATTGGATAACTTGTGAAGCAACAAAAGTGCACAAAGACCCAAGATCTGTCGATAGATAGATTTCAGCGACACCCTCTTAAATCTGATTGAGCTTTGTGAAGCTGCCTTGAAAGTTGGGGACATTGGAAGCTTCCAACAGCCTCAACACCATTGTTGATTCATTCGGATTGGAACCCGGGGCAGTGGCTTGTTGATTGGTGTTTTGGAAATCGCCAGGTCACCAGGTCGTCTTTGGGTGGTGGCAGCATGTTCATTAAAAGAAACATCCGATCAGGAGGCGCACTGTAGATTAGGAGACCATGGCAATGAGTAGCAGCAAGTATTACTATCGAACTTCATAGACTCTCCCTTGTTGCATGAGGTTGAACTGCAACAACTGCAGCATAGAGAGAAATGACTAGTAGGTTTATTGCCAGAATCTGTCGCCATTCCTGCTTTGATCTCCATCCCCCAACAAAACGATACCAGTCGTGTGACCGCCGCACCTCCGTTCACTCCGCGCACTTTCCGTGCTCAGCGTGGCCAAGCGTGGCAGTGGCTGAGCATGTGGCTCACCGTGCCTTTGCAGCTGATCATGCCGACGTTGGGCACGTGGATCACTCTGCAGGTGTGCGGACACGGTGTGCCGCGACCGCGACGCGACGGCGCCGAGATCGCGATCGCGGGACGAAGAGATCGGCCTGCAAAGCACGGGTCTCTGACAGCCATGTGTTCCTCAAATGATGTACGTTCCTGACAGCGAAGTCGGAGAGAGATTTGCCCACAAGATCTCCGGTAGAAAGGCCCACCCAAACGACCCCACTGCTGGGTTTTTTTTCACACGCACGACAACATCCCGTCGTGAGTGTCCAGAAGCTCTACTTCTTTTCAAGACCAACTCAGAGTGAACTTGGTGGCACCAAGACCAAGCTACCCCGTTCCAGCCGGCCCAGATCGTCAGTGGAGCGATCGCTGGCATCCCATTGGCGGAGGCGCGACCGACCGAGCTCCGCGTGAACTCGGCTCCGCGCGCGCGGCGTTCGAACTCGGAGCTGTTGCTGTGGAGCCAGCGGAGCCCTGAGCTGAGGATGGTATTCAGTTGGGAAGTTGGGAGTTGCAACAGAGAATGGATAATCATGACCTTGGAGTTCTATTCAAGCTAGCTTGAAAGCTTGATTTGAAATAGGGCTGGAGTAGTAGAGCCATTGAAGAGCTATCAGTTATTTAGCTTGACACCTTAGCCTTTGTGGTGTCCAAACATGGAAAAGGAGTCAAACTGATGTGATTCCGCCATTCTTGGCTTGGCGCTCATACAATCACTGTCGGAGACAGACCTTTTTGCAATCTAAGAATCAGTGTTTATAGTACCGGCGTTCAACAACTCCGCTATTATGTCATGTGCTTATGTTCTGGAAGAAGTCCATCTCTCTGCACTGTTGACATCTAGTAGATCTCTTTGCTCCTTCCGAAGGAGTTTGTCTCGGTGGCTGTCCCTGGAACTTTTGTGATTTTGTGCTGTGGGTCGCTTGGCTGCAAAGTCGCAGCGGTGCAGCGGATGCCGGTCTACGACACTGGGAGTGTGAAACTACTTCTATGTTTGGATGTGTTATGTGTTTTAAATAGGTCTTTTGCAGTGTGACTTGAGGGTCCCTCAGCAGTCATGTTGCTGGGTGGGTGTATGGCTCCTTTGTCTATTGGGGTGGCCAAAACAAAACCGTTTGCCACCCCAAATGGATGACAGATGGTCCTGGGGTGTTCATGGGGAGGATCGCCATGTTGGAGAATCTCCAAGGCAGTTGCAGTCGTAGACTCCCGACCTTATAGACCATTCTATGTGGTTTTTGTATCTTGAGGCAGCACATCTCATCAGACATGGTCATTTTGTTGGCGCGGTCCTTTAGAGGATGTGTCATGATGTGTCACACAACTTGTCAATAATGAGGGCTGAATTTCTTGATCTTGGCGAGAGCAAGTGGATAGAAATCAACAAGATTGACCTCCCTGTTCAGATTTTGCTGCGTCACCCCTGGACCAGAACATGATGAGGTCCCTGGTCAAAAGCCTGAATTCATTGAAGGAAACGACCTGGTTTTGTAATGTGGGCAAAACTTTGTAAAAACATGTTTTGCAATTTGTTGTAAGATAAATTTGAGGGCTCCATTTTCCAAGCTTTGCTGTTTGGGGCTATTATATAGTGCCAGTTTCTTGTGATGCAATGGCTCGGGGCTCGGCATGCCATGGAAGCAACGATGAATCGCAAGAAGAAGCTGAAGAAGATGTCCCGGATCCACAAAGTTTCTGACCAGGAGGAGCGCTGCGGAGCCCGTTCCTCATCAAAAAGTTGCAAGCAGGCAGATAATTTGCTAAAGACATGGAAAGCAGGTCGTCGATGCTTGTTTCGGCACTGCGTGCGCTTCGGGAACTTACACAAGTATACAAACTGTGTGCTCGGTTTGTATACTTGTGTTTGTTAAACACAGAAGCCCACAAACATCTTTCGGGGACGGAAGATGTTGGGCCTCGGACGCGTGCAAGGCATCAGCTGTGAGCTGTGTTGATCGTAAAGTCCAATGGCCAGACTGCGTATTCAGATCTTCTTGATGTGCTTCCACCATTTTCCACCATTCTACTTTTGGAAGAACACTTTGACACTTACATGCTACCGGAAGGAAGAACGAGCAGAAGAATTGCCGTCCCTGATAATTGAATCTGCACACGTATCTGGCCTGCACGCAAGTGCGCAACGCACAAGACGACGAAGAAGATCTCCTCGTGCTCTGGTGCGTAGCGCCTTGCAACTTGGCCACGCTTTTGCGTCCTGAAACAACCTCAGCTGTCACTTTGTGTCCACCATCTTGCAGCACTCTGCAGAACAGTTCTTCAAGGGCTCAGCCTTGAGCGAAGTCTTTTCAAACGTGTTCGCTCCGGATGACCGCATCAAACTGCGATCAGACTCGCTTGACCGGTGCACTCAATTTGGAAGCAAAATCCGGATCTGCAGCTCTTGGGGAGGTGCTCCTAGACTTGCTCCTGCAGGAACTACCAGTTCAGATTTCATCGCAAGATGGGCACCTGCCAGAGTTTGAGGACATTGCCAGAATTGGTGGACGGGAAAATCCACTGGAACGCCTTACTTTGTGGGTCTGAAAACCGTGGTTTCCTGTTAACTTTCCCTTCAACCAATCCATGGAGGCATCGGAGACGCAAGCACAGCGCCACTTCCAAGGACAAAGAGTTGGTCATTTTGCTGCGCAAGCTGTCAGGAGGTGGTCCGGTACGGTCAGGTGACGAGTTCAGAAGCGAGTTCGAACGGTTGGGCGCTGTGCTTGCTTTGACCCATCCACTCACCGGTGGTTGCAGCCGAGCCGAAAGCCCTTTTGAGCAGTGCTCTTTTGGAAGCTGAAGGGCAAGGAGCACGGAGCACGGCCGTTGTTTGAGACATGGTTGCTGCCCCCGAGACAAGTCAGAGTCCTCGAGGGGTTTTCGATGGGATTTCTTTTTGGTGAGATAAGTGCCCTACTCATGCAGTGTGATCCTCCAGAGATTCATGCAGTGTTTCCGATTTTTTTTTTTAGGAAGTTCCTCATGCTTTGGTCATTTTTTGTCCGTCACTCCATGTGTATATTGGATCATTTGGGACAACCCCTATGGAGATCCACCAAGGAATCTGGGGGCTTCATGACACCCATGTTGGAGTCTTAAGATGATGGTTCAGTGACTTACCCGTTTCACCTTTGATGTCCGGCCAAACCACTCCGTGGTTCTTGGGCTGCCGGCGCGGACGATCGTCACAATTGTGTCCCCACTGAGGCCTTGTTTGTTCATCCCAGTGCCTTGGCGGAGATCGCGAGAGAAGACACACAATACACTTGCAATATAGTAGGATGTTCACTAGTGAAGGAAACTATTTGGAGACGCTTGTGTTTTACATGCTCGGTGGTACCTGAGGCTGTGTTGATGGGTGACTGGATGGCCGAAGCTCGTGAAGAGCGTGAAGATCCCTGGATCCCCTCCTGGATGTTGCCAAAGGACAGGTGGAGGGGGTGATAGTAGGGTGATAGGGCGTGATTGGGGGTGATGGTGGTGATATGGGGGTGATAGTGTATAGGAGTTCACGGACCTTATCATAGCTCCATGTCCGGATGGTATTTGGGGAGCTAGCTCGAATCAACACCCTGTGGCAAAGGCGCAATATTCCACCAGTGGGAGGGGGAGATTGTGAACCAAAAAGGGTCACTCTGACTGGAAAATGGTCCCTTGCAAGACTACTTTCCTTTACGAACGGGGGGTGAATTGTACGGGAGCCGAACCATGACCCCAGCAGCCCAAACCACAATGACACCCACCTCATCCAATCCAACCTTGACCAACTACACACCACGTGTATCCCGCCAACCAAGCAATGAATAGCGAGCCAGCCCATTCCAAGAAAGCCAGTCACATCCGACCTGATGAACGCTCCCAAACGAATGCTCCTATCCAGCTCAGCAACTTATGTGAAGCGAGCCCGCTCTAGGAGCTTGTGTGGCAGCCCTTGAGCAAGGAGCAACGTCGGCTCCGGCGCCGCTACGCTCTCTTCGCGATTTTGAGCGACTTGATGGAGCCGAAGACACGCAGGATTTGGAGGTGGCAGAGTGAAGTAACAGAGATTCAAGGACGCAGTTGAAGGACCTTCTTGGCCGCTGGCACCCTATGTAATTATAGACTATCTCATAGCTACCCCATTCAACCATGCAACAGGCCTTGGTGAAGTGGGAGCCGTCCCTTTCCATTCCTTTCCTTGATAAAAGGAGACAGGTTTGGAGAGGGCGGGGGAGGTTGATCATAAACCCAAAACAACCCCCCCCAAAGTGTTGAAGGAGGTGGTTTGGCCTATGTTGCGGGAGGTGGTTAGGGACCATGTTGCTGGCATGCCCTAAGTAGTCCTTTAGATTTAGGTGTCAGGCGATCCCCTATGTTCATGTATAGTGACATGGACCATCATGCACCCCTGTGATTTGTTTTACATTTTTTTCTCATGCTTGGACCGAAGATTAGGGGACAGACACCACTCATCTATGTCAGATCCAAAACTTCTTCATTGGGTGAGTGAAGTCATCAAGGGTCATCAAGGCCACAGCTTGTGGCGTGTGGTGGTTCGCAGCGTTTGTGAGGTTACAGTCACCGTGCAGCTTGTCCTATGCTGCTTCTACTGGTCTTCGTCTTGCTGGTGGTGACCCTGAGCAATAATATCCAGGATCGGGCGCCTGACACAGCAGGATGTTGGGTTGGGTGTTTTTGACCATCCATGGCTGGGCCCGATCATGTTCAAGCAGTTACCAACACCACACTTCAACAACGCAATGTTACTGTAAATGCTTTACATGTTGACTGTTGATTAATAAACCTGCTACATTGGAATATTTCACAAAATCTCTCTAAAGAGGGTCTACGAATCTATATTCTCTGTATAGAATCAAGAGTCAACATATGTCAACATTATTGCAAATCACATCTCTTTTTGGGATCAGTGAGTTTAGATCAGGGGAGCAGGTACTCTATGGTTTGGTTGTTCCATCTTGTTCCCATGTGACCTGACGATCATGCCTTTATTCAATACCTGACGATGGATTTTGTGGTATGTTGCTGCAGGTTCTGTCCATAGGCAATGGAAAGCTTCCTTACAATCAGGAGAAGGGGATGTGCAGTCATCTGGGTACAGAATCAGAAACAGCTTCCTTCATCAGCTGTCGCGTATCATAAGATGTCCTGACCTTACGGCTTCCACCCAACACACACAAATGTCAGGGGTGCGGTGTTGCCTTTTCTTCTGGTTCCCAGAACGCTGCCTGTTCTTCTCTGTTGCCGTCCCATGAAAGGGTTATCCTTTTCGGTTCCACCATTTAACGGGGACTTCCTGCAACGATTTGGCTTGTTTGGGCCTTCTTGGGTCTTAGAACAACACATGTATCGTACTTTGGCATGATTTTGGGCCGTAACTGCTTGGGTTCCATCTGTTTTTGGAGGGAACTGATTCCATCGCGGTCGGTCCTTTTTTCGCGTCGTCAGGCGCCGTTGGATGCGGGGACGCCGCAGCTCTTCGGCGTCTTGGGCTAATGGAACGGGTGCGGCGATGTGGGAAAGCGGCGAGGTTTTTGTGGCACAAGAAAGAAAGGAGAAGCTGAGGTGATTTTCATGGTGTTTTCAGTGGGTTTTACCTTGCACATTACATCCGGGGTGTTAGGAGCTGAGTCGAGGTGTTGCCAAACGGGTGTATTAAAACGTATTAAGCAAGTGTACAAGCTCACTAGAGTCACTCAAGTTTGCAAACCTGTGTGGAAGCTATCTCAGAATCTCAGAGGTAAAAGCATCATTCGGGGTCTGTTTGTCCCCAACCAAAGCAACAGGTGGTTTGCAATTCCTTTCAGGGACATGTCGGACATGTCTAGTCTCGTGTGGACCTCCAACGGACGGATCTCCGATCTGGGTCTGAACAGCCTCAGGAGACGGTGAGCTCTTCCGAGAGGGGCAAGTGGCGAAGGAGCGCAGCGTCGGTTTGGGTGTTTCGCACACTGGTCGCCTTGAAGGGTCAGTTTGGACGTTGACCTTCAAGTTGAATGTGTCCATCATGCCACGAGAACAGTTGCTTGCTGACCCCTGAACACCTTTAAGTAAGCCATGCTTTGGTGATGAATTCCAACAATCCCTTGACAAATCGAGTGCATTTATTGGGAGCCACCCCTCAATCTGAACACATCATCATCTCCCCCATATTTGATCCACACCACATCCACACGTGTCTCCCATCCACACCTTTCGCTCCCCCTTTCCGCCCACGGCGCGGCGCGTCCTGCGCTGGAGCCTTTGACGAGGAGCTTTGGGGTGCCTTGCCCAGCCCTGAAACCATCGCTGCACGGGCCCTGCGCAACGCCACGGCCTGCCGCATCGAAGCCGTGCCTGGGGCGATGGTGAGGGTCGTGGTTGCGATGGGTGGCGGTCGTAAGTGGGTGGCGGCAGGAGTCGGAGGGGTGGTGACCGGGAGTCCATGTGTTTTTTCTGTTGTTGTTGTTGTTGTTCTCGTTGTTGTTTCATTGTTGTTTGTTTTCAGATGCCAGGCATTTTTGGTGGGGGAAAAAGCGAAGCGGACCTGCTTTTTGGTGGTGGTTGTGATTGATTTTAACATGGTCCAAAGTGGTGAAGACGCCAGCGACGTCAACGCAAGTGGTGAAGACGTTGGACAGGGGTGATACTTGGGCACATAATATTGGGCACTCTCTTACCTTGGAGAGATGGACCAGTTCCCTCTCTCTCTCTCTTTGAAGCAAGGGGTTCCAAATCAAGGTTGCATGATTTGCAACGATTCGCTTGATAAGGACTGGTGACCATGGGGGTTTGGCTATGCCGCTATGCATGGCCTCGTCGTTTCACCAACCAGCCTATACGTGTCAATCGACTTGAAGGATTCCACCACACCCGTTTGACACTGGGAAGATCACATCGATGAACGAGGCTCCTCTGAAAGGTTTTATAGTAAAGATCGCAGCTCGCCTGGTCTGCCCCAATCCGTCCTATTAAGGGCCCGGCGATTGACAGGAATCCAGATATGTTTGATGCAACAACCTCATGCTGAAACTGCCCTGGCCTTGTGTTACAAAACCTAATTTCTTGCAACCTTTGACAGTCCATTGCAAGTGCTCCTCACAGCTCATTTGTACACAACCTCTCTTTTTGTTAGTCCAGCTGCCTGCCTTCTAGTCGTGCCTGCCTTCCACCTGCTAAATTTTCACTGCAGCCTGTCAGCCAGGGCTGGTGCCAGGAAGCGCCTTTGGCCTTTCAGACTCTTGTGAAGAGCTCTTCCAACACGATCCTTTCTCAGGATCTGCAGGGATTTTTGTGGCTAGCTGCTGGCAGGATTTGCTCCACAGGCCGCAGTCAAAGCAAAATCATACAAAACCTGTAGGTCACCTGTCACTGCGACGATCTTAGATCTTCTCGAAGGCCTTTGAACATCTTCTTCATATTTCACCACACCACCAGTGGGATGGTTTTTCTCCCTCATAGCATTCTCCGCCTGTTGATCCTGCAGTTGGACGTCCAGGCCATGAGCGGCGCTAGCGGAGCCAGCAGCGCGTGCTCCTGGTTTTCATGCGAGGCAGAGAAAGGGGTCCGGCGGCCAAGTGGGACATCCAGGAGAGGAATGAAGCGCAGCATGCACTAGGGCTGACACAAAAGATTTCAAGAATATGTCTCGCAGGGTGAAAATGCTGCCCAGCCCTTGTACCTGATTGCACCTTCGTGTGAAAAAGGCTTTGGTGTTTTGCTTTGACGGCAAGGTCAAACTGTTTTCATGCCTTAGATCCCTTTTTCACCTCCTCGAACAACTCATTTGGAGTGGCATGGAGTGGATTCAATGGGCACCAATTCCGCCAGACCACATCCATTTGCGGTAGGAACCGGCTTCAGAAGGTTTCATGATTGAAAGCAAAGAGCGTTACTTGGTGTCTAGGATCGGACAAAATCTATGCGTCGGCCCGTTTTCCCCTCCTCCCTGGTTTGGTTCAGAATGGAAGGAGGAAGGCTCCTATCTCCTCTCCCCTGATCTCCCTGATCCCCAAGAGGGTACTGGGTCGCCAGAGATTTTATCCATTACCCATATCAGAAGTTCATGAAGACTCAGCTCAACAGGTATCAACAGGTATCAGCAGAGCTGGGGTCTCATGATGTGGTTTCTAGTGGATCAACTGAGTCCGACAAGTCAAGTCCACGATAAGAAGCAGAGGACATCCAATAGAGTCAAAAGAAGCTTCATTCTGTGTCATTCAAATAACAACATAAGATAGAGCAACCATATTCCCTGTTTTGCTTTCCTTCTCTTGCATTCCTCAACCTGCCAATTCATGAAATCATGCTCAAAACACACAACAACCACATGTTTTGCAGCGTGCAGCGCAGCCCTTGCAGAGCAGCCCATTCGGGCAGCCCGCACCGACCCACAAGGTCGAGCTGGCAGAGGACACGTGCAGCTGCGACTATCGTTTGTTCACTCCACAGTCCGGAGCCTCCACTTGCCAAGCAGCTCGGCGAAAGCGTTGTCGTGTTTGGGTTCTTTGGGTTGTTCAAGCCGGTTACGGTTACAGCTTGGAGGAGACTAGACGCTTTTTGATGCTTGATTTGATTAAACAAACTACCATAGGACACTGAAGAGGTTTTGCAATTCAAATGGATGCTTTTATCATGTTTTTTTTTTTTTTAATCAATAAAGAGTATACAAATATGATATGTCTACATTGTAGTAGTTATCTAGTTAGTTTGTTGACGTTTATTGTTGGGTTCATGAACGATGTTTCCCTTCATGGAGACATGACAGTGGATCAAGTGTATGGATCTCATTGGAATTTGTCCATCAGGAAGGGTAGAAGGTTTGAACGAGACAACCCAACAACTGTGAATAGTCATATTGTAGTAATGCTGAAGACACCAACTGACAGATTGAAATGTCTTTTCCCTGCAGGAAGCTACAATTTTTTCAATCTTGTCGGCCCACCTGAACACACTTTGTAGACTCTTGGTGTGGCTGCAGTGGATGGTAGAAGAAGTGAGTAAGAAGCAAGCCTATTTGGATCAGATGCGGCAATGGTCTATTTGTTTTCAATTGTATACCTCATGCTGGGAAGATGACAAATGTCTGAACCTCGCCCACTGTCAGAGTCAAAACCATCACCATTTCTTAGTTTGCTAAGAAGGCCCTAGTCTCATAGACAGGAAGCCACGGGAGTGGTGCTCCAGCTTCAAGAGTACCAGTTCACTTCGCTACTCCCCTTTGACTATTGGATTGTCAGCAAACCGAACCATAGATGGGCTTGTATGTTAATAGGGGGCCCCCAAGTCCCAACCAATGGGTTTTAGTGTTAGTATGTTTTAGTCTATGTTTCATCTTCCAGAGAGTCGCCTGGGAGTTCTCCCTACTTTAAATATACGCAACATGGATCATGAGATGAGATCCTATCTCGGCTGCTCATTTCCTCTCATTTCCAAACTCCCCCACACCACACCACTTCAGGCAGAGGCGCGCTTCAGCGGTCTGCACGCGGTGCCCGAGACCTTTTGGCCTTGGGTCCAAGAGTCCCCCGGCCGCACCGCTGCGGCCGTCAGCAGCGGATGAGGTCGGCAGGGTTCCATTCATGTGATTTCTCTTGTTTGGTTCGGTGTCACGTTTTAAACATCGAACCCTAAATCATTCTAAATCAGATACTTGAAAAGTGAAGGACATATATAAACAGGATCATTTTGTGCTTGACTTGATTTAAAGGCAAGAATCACGTTCTGGGACTGTCAGAAGATATAGAAACGAGATGGTTCGTTAACAAGGGTCTTTGTATAGCCATCCTGAAGTTGCCCACATGGGGCAATCCAAGTTCATGACCACCCATTCAAAGTCACCAACAACCCTCCAAAAGTTAACATGTTGCCGTGGAAGACCCTGTCTCACCTCTTTTTCCCGAAAGACTTGGTCGAAGGGCTCTTCCTAAAGGCACTTGGTCTGTCTAGCTGAGGCTTTTAGCACTTGTAAGAGTCTAGCACTTGCAAAGACTTGATCAAGTTTTAGCACTTGGTCTGTCTAGCTGAGGCTTTTAGCACTTGTAAGAGTCTAACACTTGCAAAGACTTGATCAAGTTTTAGCACTTGGTCTGTCTAGCTCAGGCTTTAGCGCTGGTAAGAGTCTAGCACTTGCAAGAGATTTGATCAAGCTTTAGTGCAACGCAGTATGACTTCCACTTGCAGGAGGTGGAAGTCATCAAGCAGCAGGCCCTGCAAGGTCAGCTGCAGGCCTAAAGGGAACAAGTGCTGTTCCAAGCACAGCAGCAGTTCTTTTCTGGCAAACTCACGTGCTGCTGGGCTCCCAGCAGGGGCTTGGAACAAAGCCAGTGAGTTCAAGTTCAGCAGCATCCAGCATTGGCCAGGTGGTTGGCCACGATCCAAGCCAAGCTGATAAGAGCAAAGGGATTGAAGCAGAGCCAGCTCTAACCCAAGAAGGTCAACCAAGTGCAGCCCAGGGGGTTGATGCAGCTGCAGAACCAAAACCTGAGGAGCTTGAAACAGAGCCAATTGCTACCCAAGGGGTTGCAAATGCAACTGAAGAAAAACCTGAGGGGCTTGAAGCAGAACCAAATGCAACCAAGGGGGCTGATGAAACACAAGATCCAAAACCTGATGGGC